AAACAAAAGAAATAGATGTGTTTAATGTTATTTCACAGATATATCAATTGCAAGATTAACTTATCTTACCATATCCTGTAGTATGATCATGAGCATGGCCAGTAGCAAAAAAAAAAAGGATTATCTTACCATATCCTGTAGAATGATCATGGGCAGGGCCAGTAGCAAAAAAAAAAAAAAGGATTATCTTACCATATCCTGTAGAATGATCATGGGCAGGGCCAGTAGCAAAAGAAGGTGTGCTGTTCTGGTGAAGAGTCCAATCAAAGTCATCATCATCAGCATTAATATATCCACAAAGATCATTATCAAACGAGCAGCTACCAGTATTGGTTGGATCTGTAAAGTATCAATTTAATCTCTGCTTGTAATAACACAAACTGCAGTGCATAAATAGAGGATATTACAAGGTGGTGTGAAGATATGAAGTTTATCTTCAAGTGGCGAAAATATTTCACGAGTGAGCCCAGCGAACAAGTGAAATATTTTTAAACAGAAGATAAACTTCATATCTTCAAGCCAACGTGTACTTTTCTTTTTACTATATAGACAAATCCACAAAGAAAAACTACACAAGTTAATCAAAACAGGTCCTGGAAAGCATCGCAAGTGATGTCATCGATATCCTCACTAGTGAAGATATGGGAAATATGTTACTCAGATCCTGGATGTAGTTTGTACGAAAAATTACGAGTGGCATATTTCCCAGTAAAACACAAATAGTACAAGGAGAATTATCCTTGCTCTTAGGAGTGTAGCACTTATAATAGCTAATGGTTAGAAAATCTGTGACCCTCATTTGCCAATAGCACAGCGCAACAGTGACGTCTAAAAACGAAGGCGAAATTCAGACTAACAAACTTACAAGTTTACTTTCAGCAGATAATTTTCACAGCTGATCGCAGTTGATCTTAGTTTACATGGGTTATTATTGTAACTTTAAGTAAAAATAACAAAATCGGTTCGTATGATCCTCGTAGCGGTTAAACAGAATGCAATGTTTGTCCGAATCTTTAAGCTATTTTAGAATCAGTGCACTGAGCTATTCTATGATGGATTTGAATTGAAATCTAAAAATTAATTTTTCCAGAGAAAAGAGAGTGAAGTACCTGAAGAATAATTATTGAAGCACAGAATAGGATAGCCCAACTTAAAACTTTGCAACCTTATTGGCAAGTTAATAATTAATAATTGATATTTAATAAACTGCCTGAATTTACATGTAGATCTAATATTAGGATTATTTACGACTAGGTACTGTAGTTTCTACCATTCCTCATACGCTTCCATACTTACATTCATAGCACAGTCTTTTTTGTCTATATTCTATTGTACAGTATTTCTTTTATATTTATCTCTTGGCTTTTTCAAAAATATTGAGGCATAAAAAAAACTTTTCCTTCAACACTGTCCATTTGCCAGCAATGGGTCTGTACGTACTGTAAACCTGGGGCATAACTAATTACATAAAATTATGCAGTCAACGGCTTCAATGACTTCAATGGACCCATGGTCCAGTTGCATAGGTTTAATTTGATTGAAGTTATTAATGTAAATGTACTTACTAGTGTCTTGATGTACACATGCCACTCCACCATCTTCTTTGTGCATGCAGTTGTGTACTCCCCAACCATTATGAGGACAGTCTGTTATTTTTGACTCACTTCCATTGCAATTAAGATTATCGAGCCATATCGGACCTGTACCCTGACCAAACGAAGCAACAGAGTACATATAGACGGCATCTGAGTAGTTCAGTTGGCGGCAGATAACTGTTCCTTCGTTTATGTCCCAGAAATCATCACAAATGGTTCCCCAGGCATTATTGTGATAGATTTCAACGCGTCCTTGCCAGGCATCATCTGATCCAAACAGGCGGACATCTCCATCCTTTGCACCTGTAAATGCAACATATTCCAACACAGCTGCTGGTTAGCAATTTTTTTATGAGCGTGAAACGCATGGTACTGACTTACAGCATGTGCACATGATACGACATACCATAACATTGATATGGCTTCCCATAAGAATGGTTATCATATGAGTGGGAAACATATGGTACTTACAGCATGTACACGGTACAAAATACCATAACATAGATATGGCTTCCCATAAGAATGGTTATCATATGAGTGGGAAACATATGGTACTGACTTACAGCATGTACACAGTACAACATACTGTAACATTGCAATGGCTTCCCATAAGAATGGTTATCATATGAGTGGGAAACATATGGTACTGACTTACAGCACATACACGGTACGACATGCCGTAACATTGAACAGGCTTCCCCTGAGAGTGGTTATCGTATGAGTGGGAAACATGTATACACCGTAAAACATGCCGTAACAATTTATTGGCTTCCTATAGGAATGGGTTTTGTATGAGTGTGGGAAACATGGCAATGATTTGCATTGATTACAGTACATAAACAGTATCAAATGCTGTAACATTGAATTGATTCCTGTTGTTTTCCAGTGATTACTTCAATTATGGTCAAAGTCATTAGTAGGTCAGCCCTGGCACTATATATATTTTATACCATGCTTATTTTCTATACCCTTACCCTATTCGGTACAAAGATATTGTGACCCTACCCCTCCCCGTAATACATTGAATGACACATAATATAATGGTATATATATATGTACATATTTTCGAAGCTTGCATGTTTCAATTATTGTGACCCTTTTTATTTATCGCAAATGGCCCTCTCCTCTTTTACACCAGCTACTAGTTTTTAACAAATCCCTCACATAATAAAAAAGATGAGAATCTTAACAAGACATTATAACCTGTCTTTACAAATGCCAATAAGTAAGAGAGAGGTAGATTACATATTTGTACTTCAGAGATGAATACTCATTTTCTTTTTTATTAGTCCAATACAGTGGGATCAAGCAAGAATAAGCAACCTCAGGGCTATTAATATTAAAAGCAAATGATATGATTTAATAGAGGCTTCGCACCATCACGTGATGTGCCAGCCATGACGGGAAGCTGGAACAATTGAATCTGATCTAATCTGATCTACATGAGAAAGAACTCAGTTTCCCAGGGGAATAATACTCTAGTGTTATGCCCCCTGTCATGGCTGCCATCACGTGGTGACATGCCTCTATAATGAAATTATAAATGATTTACAAAAATAGTCGTAAATCTCGCTACGTATAGGTAATTTACAATCTGCTACTTGAATCAAATACAAAATGTGACAAATGACAAAAAGAAGAAGAAGAAAAAAAAATGAAGACTATTAATACTGCATTAACCCAGGACTCTTCCATTCTTTGTTCCTGCATCAGAAAATATAATATGATGATCTAATTGCAATATTTATTAACTTTCTGATGATGTAAAGGCGGTCATTGTTATTGAAATCAAGGTCTTCTAGCATGTTGATAAAATTAGCAGAATCATTAGCAAATACACCAAGTGCACTGATGGATAGGTTAACAAAGACTACATTTTTATACTGACTTTGAACAGACTATTCATATTTCGCGTTTTTAATAATAATAATAATAATA